TTGGCAAGTACCGAACGAGTGAACTTGGCCAATCAGCTAGAAATGAGTGATGTGCAAGTTAAAACATGGTTTCAAAATAGGCGAACAAAATGGAGGTAAATTTTAAAAAAAGTAAATTTTGTGAATTAACAGTTTAAATGATAAATTACAAAGTTATTATGTTGAAATGCAATGACAAATTCAGTTTCGATTTGTTCATTTCTAAAATGGAACTATTCCCAACTCAAAAACCTCTTTTCCTCTGATTTTTCATTCTCAACCTTTTCTTTGCTGCTAAAAATTCACTGAAGACGTAATAAAATTGTCTTCATGATATAACAGTTAATCACATTTAAACGATTCGATATCGAATAAATTACAATTATATTTATAGTTGTTTTACTGTTTTACCGATTTAGAAGAGTTTTTGTTTCTGAAATTCAATTTATCGTTATTAGTGGACTTGTTTTGTTTTCTAATGTTTCTACAAATCACACTAATACAAATAATTCAAAAAAAATAGCGTTAAAATCAACAAATGAAATATTTGTCTGAAAAGTGAAGCACACCCATATTATTACAGAAGACAAGAAGCAGAAGAAAAAGAATGTGAAGACAAAGCGAAAGTCAAAATGATGGCCTGTTATTCCAAATGCTTTTTTGCCAGACCTGATGTTGTGCTTTAATCGAATTTTTATGAACTTTCTAATTCAGATGTGTCAATCACTACAACTGATGTCTCATTTCCTATTTTTGCATTGCCATTTCATTTCATTCCATTTCACATCGATAATTTTGATCCGACTAAGATCCGGATTCCTGCTATAATATCTTTTGAAAGTAAGGCGCAATTGAAAAGTGTTGGATAATAGAGTCTTCGCTTTGATTCATAATTTACACTTCATTACTTCATCTTTATACTCTCTTAATTATTGCCATCCATTTAATTACAGAAGTTGAGTCAGTCGAAGTTATATTAACAGCTGCGAAAAGTGTTTTAAAATACATAAAATTGTATTTCCTTTCTAAAAGGTTTGAAAAACCTTTCGACAAAATATTTTAACTTTCGTTATAAAAATGTGCGCGGCGGTGTTATTTGCAGTAATAGATATGTCAATAAATACTCGGCCTTTTTGAATTTAATAGCCGAGGGTAGCAAAATATTAATTCAACTATTTTCAAATGACCCCTATATTATGCATTGATTACGGATTCAATTTGCAAATAAACTACGACAAATGATAAAAATAATCAAATTGCTGTCATTTGGCTTATTATAAACTCAGTTTTCATTCTTATCACTTCATCCTTCTTTCTTCTCTCCGAAAAAGTTTTATTTCACTGAAATTTTCCAAAACACAATAGGAATAATGTGTAAATGATTTCGACATAAGAGAAGTTCTGTAGATAGCGATATCGGGAGAAACCGGTGGTGAAATGAGAGCGAAACTGTGACTTAGAATGCATCTGCGTCGGGAGTCATCTTGGCCTGACAGGATAAGGAGTTCAATGCCAAACCAAAACTTATATTTAAATAAGTGAAGAACAAGATTGGAAAAAGGATTGATCAGAGCACAGTTGACTGTACTGAACGTATAAAAGCGGACGAACTGTGACTTAGAATTAAATGGGATGAAAATTGTAACGTCCGGTCCAGTTCCATCCGTTTACATTTGTAGCGTCGATTTTGGAACCAAATTTTGACTTGTGTGGGAGTAAGTCCCAATGTCACTGCCAGTCGTTCTCGTTCTGCTGCATTCACGTATCGCTGCAATTTGAAACGCTCTTCCAGCTCACTCACCTGAAATTCAATTGCTCATCTCCGTCATTTGCCGGTAGAGGAAGGAAGGGCTTTTGACCTGTTCTGTTTCATCTGGCCTATCAATTGCTAAATAAGTCAAAAATTACTTTCTGTCGATAACGCAGGTGTGTACGTATGCATTCATAGAATAAATAATACACACAAAATCAACAATTTATGAGACCCACCTGAGATTGGGTAAATAAAATGCGAGGCTTTCGTCGCGTCTGCTGCGATCGGAGCCGTACAGAAAATTTTGGGTCGCCATTGCTGTCGCAAGGGTTAGCTATCAAATCGAATCGCGAGTCAGTGTGCATGTCTGGATTTGTACGGTACAAAATTTTTAAAATTTTTACTCAGTTCAAATTCAGCAAATTGAAATACATTGACGGAAGTAAGTGCTGTTCAAGCTTTTTTTATAAATGTTTTATATGGAATTGGAATTAGAAAATCATATCTTAATATTCACTAAGTTACTTGAAACTCTAACGTAACAGTGAATCATTCCCAAACCGTTTCCTTTTCGAAATTTCACGCTGACGGTTAAGTAAACCAATCGATAATTCATAAAGTTATAGATTAGTGATGAACACTTACTTAAATATGTATAAAGTGCAAATTGCGGTACGACAGTAGTGGATGGTAAACGTTCAGAGAAACCCAAATACTGCATACCATCCGTCGAGGTTAGTTGTTCCAACGAGAAGTTCGGTGTTGGGAACACGGAAGATGGTACGTTTGGAATTGTTGGCAATGATGAAAACGTCGTGCTGTTCGCTGTCGGTAAACTCCACGGGAATCCGAACGTTGGCATTCGGGTACTAGGTACTGATACTGAGTTATTCCTTTGATTTACTGCATGCAACTCCGGTTTTCTGGACATGCAAGACTCCGGATAATGAGCAGACCAACGATGAGGTTGTTGAGCCGGATTTTGGATTAAATTTGTCGGTTGATGATGCTGATGATATATAGCCATTAATGGGGAGTTCGATGATTGAAATCATTGAATCCAATTGATGCAAGTGATGAGAGGCGCGCTTCGTGCCTTTAAAAGATTCTCACGCGGCTAATTTCTACCTTGAAGTGATTTTTTAGTCCTCTTCTTCATGAGGGACATCAGGAAATAGTGTGTCAAAGAGAGTGAGAGGAAAACGGGTTCTAATGGCTTCCGAGGTAATGCGAATAGATGTTACGGTACTGAAGTGTATTTACATAGTTAGCCAATCAGCGGTGCTCACTTCGAGGAGTTCGGAGCACGAAAATTGGAAAATGAGAAGCGAAGAGGGCAATAAAGGAGAAATGGATTGCATTACACACTTAAATGTGCCTTTCCTTGAATTTTGAACCTTTGTATCAATTTTCATTATCCTTCAAACAATCTACCAAAACATAATCTCTCTCTTGATTCTATCTTCCTTCTTATCATAAGCATCTTTGAAATTGCTGATATAAACAGAAAGGATGGGTCGATCATCCATTATATGATGTGGAACATTATATGATCGTTACTTTTTAAATTTTCCATTGTTTTAATTCCCATCCTCAAATAATTCACTCTCTAAATTCAACGATCTTTGCCTGTGTAAATGTATCAAATTTACATGTCGCACATACTTTCCTTTGCTGCAAAAAAAATTATTTTGCAATTATACTTAAATAATTACACAAAAAATGATTTGCTATACAGTTTATCGTCGGCAAAAAGGTCATTCATGCTATATATGAATGACTTTTGCATCAACGATAAACAGTGAATAATATCTTTAAATGATATTCCTCTTCTAACAGTATTATCAATCGATCAATTACTATTAATAGAAAGCAACAAATGAGAATATAGCACGACTCTTTTTAGCAAACTAAGCAATGAAAATTTGAATAGCTTGAAAAGATTTTAGAAAATTGACAAGTCCAATCAGCGTAAGTGGACAGGCAATGTAGAATACTCAACTGTAAAAGAAAAATGAAGAATCTACAATGTGAAAAATAAAAAATATTGCTTAGTGAAGTCACTTTCACTTTTCGAATTTTGAATGGCCACGGACGATTAATCAAAAAAATATGCGTTAATGTGAAGAAGCTTCGATAATAGTGTGACCATTTCGATTTGAAAAGACACTGATTTCAAACGATCAGCCAATTGAATATGAAAATTAAAATATATAAGTTAGCTTATCGAACAGTACCTAACACCTATTCATGCATTATTTTACTAAAGATGATCGACGTTTAGCAGTTCTCGAATTTCACCGCTTCTGCGGACAGTGTCCACTATATTTCTTATGATATGTGACAGATATCGATGTGTCTCTTCAACACATGTTCGCATTTTGTATTCGTCAGTTTTTTAACAATAAATTTTTCATAAAACGTTGCGCCCTTCACTAAGGAAAATCACCGTTGTAGCTGTTAAAACTAACAAATCTTTCGTTGGAAGACGAAAATCGTACAATTTTGTGATTGAAATAAATGAAAAAATTGCCAACAAACTGGAAAACCAAATGGCCAACCATATTTTGGTTCTCCGAGGTAAATAATGTACACGAAATGCTTTGGGTGAATGTACTCCGTTATGTCACGCCAGGCATATCCCTTGCGATTAAAAAAATTCCATTCAATTTTACAATTCATTTTAAAAAAATTCCAGTTAAACCATACATCTATCGGGATGGTAAGAATGTGCGGTGAGTAACTTCATGAGTGATACTAGAATCCTTTCAACCGAAATAAGCATGTCCGTGTGATTGTTTAACAGTTTTATTATTGAAACTCTTCCATCCATTTTGCAGGAACCCTTTACTTTAAGCATATTTTTCCACAGAACTCCTGTGGAGAAATATGCTTTCTATTACGGAAAAAGCAGCCAAAAATAAAAATCGCTTATTATTCTCAATGAGGAAAGAAACTCACTTTTCCGAAAGATTTCTTACTGATAAAAAATGAAAAACATTCAGTGCTACTAAAAGCCATGGAATGATAATAGCCAAGTAAAATTTTATAATGCAACAACTTTCACTTGTTACACAAGGCATACTGGATAAGTTTTAGACTGCACTGTGGTACAACATAAAGTTAAACCATTTACCAATTCAACGATATATTAAAAGCACCTCAAAACTTCCTAACAGAATATCCTGTCTTATGATGAACTCTAAACAAAATTGAACAAAGAACCTTGACATAATGTGTTATAACGATCAACATACGATTTGAGGAGTTATCGCTTTTTATACAAACAAGGCTTCAATTTCAACCCAATAGGTCGTTTCTGCATCACTTTACCAGTTTTGATAAATTCCAAAACAACAAAATAACCACCATCTTTTATCATCTATAAACTTTTTAATAAATGATAAGATAACCATCTGAATGTGTACTCCTTTCTATAATTCCGGACCAAAATCAACGAACCTTTCCAGTCATATCAAATCCCATTTTTGTTATGGCATGCACGAACTGTTTTACACTTATGAATCGACTGGCAACTTCGGCTATTTTCAAAAAACCACTGAAGATAAGCATAAATTGGGTCCAATAAAATTAAATTGATTAATTTCAAGAACTAATAAGTACAATACTTCCATGTCATTATTTAATAATATATGAAGTGATAACAAACCCTTTCTTCAATATTCGATTCGCTTCCCTTAAATATTCGTTCAGATTGGTTCCCATCAATGAAAGACAAAAAACAACAATATCCACTGATTCATTGTGTAGCGGGACCTATATAAAAACATACTTCAATTAGAAAAAAAAAAGGTTAAATTAAATGCACCGTTAAGTAAGTCTAATTCATGCTCAATGACTGAAGGCGTAATTGTAAAATCACTGCTGATAGTTAATCGTTCGATAGACAAAATATATTTTACGTCTCGAAGCAGTTTGACATAAGATTTCCTCTACCAGTCTTCTCATGATCACTGGAATGACCTTTAAATTAAAGAAAAAATGTCGATTTTTGAAATCCGTATTTGTTGAGGATAGTGTGCTTACAACTCCATACAAAATGAGTAAAATAGTAACTCTGTTATGCATACGAGATTAACAGTGAATTTATAGATGTATAACAGTATAGGAATAATAGAAAATATGAGGAAATATTAAATGTCCCTAGTCCAATTATGCTACTCATAACGTTAAGACTAATTAAGTGTACCGTTGACATGTCACACGCCGTAATGCGATCATTCGTGGCAACCAAATCGAAAGAGTGTACGGTGGCTATTTGTGACAATTTCTCAGCAATCGTTGCACTTCCACAGCCCAAATCAGCAATTATTAAACCATCATGTTTCAGCGATTTTATCCATTGAATAATGATATGAACAGGATTACACGGCCATTTCTTTACCTATAAACACTATATTATTAATCTAAAATATTATTTTCATTTTTAATTAACTACCTTCATTTTCTAAGCATGCATAATAATCCGACGTTTATTCTTTGTAAATATCATCGATTCACTGATATCTTCATAACATTTATCAGAAGCCTTTGATTCAAAATATCGATTATACTAATTTGCACATTAGATTGATTGTAAATGGGCTCAAACAAGTCAGCATGCTTTTAATAGAAATGGGTAAATCATTACACAATAAAATTTCCTCTTACTACACTTTGAACAATCACATATGCATTGGTTTGTACAATTCCCATTAGCAAACCTGTTTCTGATATCCTTTATGGTACAATTCGAAAGACTGCGGATCCTTCCGGAACAGTTCCATAGCTTCCGCACCACTCATAGTATATAATTGCTCATTGATATATCGAAATAACGAAGAATTCATTTCTTCTACGTCAATTATTTCTTCTCTATTCAATGCTCCATTTTCACTTAGGCCGTCACGGTATTTAGTCTTCTTAACTTTACTTTTCTTCTTTTTTTTTCTCATTTGCACATCACTTAAGGGAATGGAATGTTCAATATCTAAAACAACAAATTATAAAATGTAAATAGAAAGAAAAGAAATTCGCATCGTGTATTTACTGTTCTCGTGGTGATCATTATATATACATGTAACAACCTTTTTCTTCCCTCAGTTTTCTTTTCGCTTCCTTAGCAGCTTTCTTGCGAACTTTATTTCGCCATGGACGACGCTGCTTTCTCGGCTAAAACAACCAACTATTAAAAGCATTCAAAAAAATACAAGCCAAAAACGCTATCCTTCATAACTGCAGCACACGCAATTCATCATCTAAACGGCTAATTAATTAACCAATATAATTACCAACCCAATAAATATAACGTTCCATTCATTCATCACATTGCAATTACAATAAGAAAGAACAAAACTAACAGATTTTGTCATCAGAGTTTCTACTTCTTCACTGCAATCGACTTCGCCTTGTTTTGCGGAGAGTGCATTGTTCTTGTCCTCCAATTTCTCCTTCTGTCTCATCAAAATCTCGAAAAATAAAAGTAAAAACGAAGTGCATGTATAACAGAACAAGGCTAAAACACTCGCAAATAACTTCAACACTCTTTTGATTTCGACATTTTTCAATGGGATTGACTATGGCAGTGAGTAAATTTCGATCATCAGGCACATTTATTATCATTAAAAACGAAACTAACGAGTACCAACAAAGTTAATAAATGACTAACTCACAATAATGATATAATCAAAACTGGGACCAAATTAAGTACTTCAATGTACTATTCATATAAAATACAAATGTGAGGAAAATACAATATATTAACAAACTTTATTTTCAAATAATTAACTATATACCAAATATTATAAGAGTGCAATAAATAGCAAAATCATTTCAAATCCATCGAAATAGGACTGTCTGATATTGTTGTATGTCATCATTACAGTAACGGATCAGTACACTGATTACCGCCTATCTGTTTTCCCGAGCCCACGCTTGCCACAAAACAAGTGTTTCGGACGTTTGGCAAAGATATGCCTGTCAGCTTCACCTTTCCTTGCTTCGTGTTGCAAATTTCTCTGCTTCTTTCGTCCAACTTTCTTCGTCATTTCTCGCATCTAAATTAAAATTTGATTAACTTAGCAAAATTCCTCACCAAATAACCAACCAACAGCACAGACGTACATCATCGGAAAGATCTTCTTCTCATAGAAACGAGGATGCATATCCGAATATCTCAGATAATGCTCTTTTTTAACTTGCTACTGTTTTATATGCACACTGATCTATGAAAAAAAAAAAAAAATGCTAACTTCGTCATCCTTTATACCCTGGATATCACGACTAGGCGGTCGACTAGCAACCAGGTTTGGACTTTTTCCCACCCGTATTTTTTTGACAGTAGGCTCTTTCAGTTGTTCTTTAGCCAAGTTCTTCAACTGTGATGGATCAATATCAACACCAAGATCCCGGAACTGTTCTTTAAAACATGCCATAGTTCTATTCCGTTTTCTTACCACGGAACGACTTAAACGTGGTTTCGTAATGCTCTTTTTAACTTGTGAAGCCTGTAAATTTGAGATTTAAATAAACCGTCTAAATAGCTGTGCTTAAAGTATGAAAAGAGATCATAAAGTAATTGAATTGATATAAAAGATAAAATAAGCTTTTCTATCATTTTCCATTTTACCATTTTCAGCCGACTCTCTCTTTCCATGATTTTTTCGGCATTTTCAAGCAATTTTCTCGTCTTATCATCATCCAAAATCAAATCTTCATCATAGTATCTGAAATATTACATCTTATAGAGCTATAGCAAAAATTCCCTAACGTCAACAAAAGCTGTGCAAATTTTCAAAAAATATAAATTCCTCAATAAATTAAAAAAATCTCATACCCGGCTTGAATCTTTGCTTCTTCCTCTTTCTTGATTGACTCTAACATATCTTTGATATTCGATGCAACAAAATCGGCAATATTATGTCCTTCCCATATTTCGGGCACAACATCGTATTTTTCTTCATCGTTCTTCAGTAAATAATGTTCTGCAAAAGCAATTATATATTTGTTCCTAGTCTTGTAACCTATATAAATTAATCTATATAAGAATCGTGAAAAAACAGATTTAAACAGAAAATTTACTCTTCAAATCAAGTATATATTCGTCTTCCATTTCCAGTTCAATTTGGCGCTCTAACTTTCGTATTCTCGCAACTTTCTCGTTATTGGTATTATTACTACCCCAAAACTTTTTCTTTATAACTGCTTCCGGTACATACGGTGCACGTACCTGAAATTCAATAGTGGCAGATAACAGCAAACTAGAAAAACTTTTAAATTCCACAAAAATTAACATACTTTATCATCTCTTGGAACAGGATAAGCAACAAACACACGGTTTAACACACCATCTTCAACTGCTAACTTCCTCGACTGCAATTTGTTTTCAACACGTTGTGTCAAAAGATGATTGCACGCCTAAACGGTAAACATCTTTTTCTTTTTTAAACAAAAGCACATTGTCCTTTTTTCTTACTTCTTCGACAATTCAAGTTGTATTTCTTACCAAAAGAACTCTAAATAGCTGGTTGAAAACAAGCAAAGTGATGCATACAAAGCTAACACACTAAAAACAAATTCACTTTCAGCATTAATATCATCTAATATATTTTGCATTAGATGAGTAATGATAGCCTTACATTAGTTTATCCTATGCTCACTTTACAATTCTATCATTACTTTATAATTCTGGTAGGAATTTCAATTACTTCTCTTACTGAAATTAATTTAGCTAGATAAATATGATAATGGTATAATAAAAATGTAAAAAAAAATACCGTATTTCTGAAATCCATTATTCCCTCTTGTGTAACAGCGCTAAGTTCAAACATAGATAAACAACTGTCTTCCAATCTTTTCAGTTGCTCCATTTTCTCCAGCTTTAGTTCATCAAGCTTTACAATATCCACCTTATTTAAGCCAATTAATACTGGTTTCTTTACAAATAATGGACGAATGCTTTCAAACAGTGCTACCTAAAAAACCCAATCAAAGTTAACAATCCTGAAAAGCAATGTATAAATACGATATCGAATCAGATTTCTTACTTGTTCTTCAATCGTATGATCACATGTTTCACTTATATCCATAATGAACAAAACTGCAGCACGTAAATGTGCAAGTGCAGTGATCGCTTGCATCTCAATTGTATTACGCTCTTCTAAAGGTTGATCCAAAATACCAGGTGTATCAATAACCTAAAACTATAATAATCTAAATATATTTCACACTTACACATATCATACATTTTCTTTCGAAACAGTACAATTTTTTCCCTATACTTCTATCAAACATTCTCTAATTAGGAATAAAGAATTAGCACTGGCCTGCCAACGGAGATATTTATAATCAAGATGTCCAATATAAAGAGCTTTAGTGGTGAATGCATAAGGTTGTACTTCAACGTCAGCACGAGTTAACAAATTCATCAATGACGATTTACCAACATTTGGGAAACCACAAAGTATTAATGTCCTGAAATTCGATGTCACATTAACAATGCAAACTTTTCCCACTTTGGCACCAATAATATTTTTTTTTTGTTTATTAATCATTGCTACGGAAAGTATATCAATAAATAACTGTTTTATACATACCTCGTGTTTGGATCAATTGTTGGTAAACGAGAAAGATGCTGCCTCACTTGCTCCAAATAATCAAAACTTGATTTCTGGCGCTTTAGTAGCTTTACCATTCGTCCAAGTGCTGCTCGTTTTAGCATTTTACACCGATATAATGAATCGCCATATTTCATTAGGCGAACATATTCTCGTGCAATACTGAAATGCCTTTTTATTATAATAAATTCAAATCAACATAAATGACAACGCAGTGAAAATAAAAACTGCTAAAATTTACCCATCGATCAAATGACGAGCAGTGTTCATTTGTCCCAAAGCAATCTTGTAGTGGTCCTTATCGTATAAAATGTTCATGAGATCGGCATAAAATGGATGAACCTCCTGAAAGGCTATTCAAAATATTCAAAAGCATCCTCTAAAAATCCAAAAGCCAATATTTCTACATTCTGTTTCAATTCACATTAACCAATCCAAACACTTTATTTAGCAAGGAGATTTATAGCTATTATCAGCAAAAAAAGATACAATAAATCAGCAGAGCGATAAGAAAAAAACTACGGAATTACCTCCATTTTTGGAAATTCATCGATAATTTGTGTCAATTTATCATGCAAAACTTGTTGCAAAAATTTAATCTTTCGTGTATAAAATGACCGGATCCGGCTGATTGCAAAATGACGACGAACCACGGTTGGTGTTTTCCGTTGTGTCTTAGAAAGAACTATTTCCTTCAAATCCTGAAAAACAAATCTAATGTGGTCTTGAATGTAATCAAACGTCATGCAAAATTATTTCCTTTTCGATAGCATATCTAAAATATACTAATATTCTGGCATTTAAATAACTGCAACTCAAACCTTAACAATAATTACTTACCGCAGCGGACGGAACCACCGTTATCTTTTTGAAATTGTAAATTGCCGGCATTTGCTTCTAAGCTAGAATAAATTTAACAAAAAAAGCACAAAATTACAGATGTCACACTTGTCGCCTATTGTAATTGCCACTAAGCAGTCTATTTTATTACAGCTGAGAAAAAACGGGAAGAGGAGGAAGAGGAAAAAACAGCAATCGTCCTCCCCGTTCAAATGGGTATCACTTTAAAGTGTGATGAAAAAATGGTGACAAGGACAGTGTGTTTCTGGAAATTTATCACTGAGTAAATCAATTTCAATCCTTATCCATAATCACTTCTCTATTCACTACAAATAAAGTATGGAGAAATTATGTCCTTCCTTGAAAATATCACTGAAGTAAAAGTCTGTTCCAATTAACTTCTCCGAGATTCCCCGAGACCCGAAAACTCCCTCTCTCTTTTCACCCCATCCCTTTAAACAAACGTGCATTACGAAACATCAAACCAAACTCATCAAAGTAATACACTGTCTTGCCTGTGGCGACATTAAAACGACATCTCATCCATGAAAGTTGGAGGTACTGAGAGATGACGCTATGGGAGATTGATTGACGTGAGGTCAGGTTGGGAACTGACCAGATGGATTTTTGGCTAACCGTATGGAAAAAGTTTGAGAAGTTATGTGCATAAATAGATTTGCTCCGTCATCTTCAGAATGGACAGGAAAATTTCCTCAAAAGCGGATTTGTCAACCTGGACGGAGTAGAAATCAGCGATACATTTTAAGATGCT